GAGGGTGTGGCTGCGGAAAATAAAAAAATACATCATCCTCACAAAGGAAATGTACAATTTCAAATAACTAGTAGTAGCGTGTAGTGGTCCGCAAAATGTTTGGAGGTTGGAAATGGGTCCGCACATTCGAAAACTAAACTGTTTTGTATTTTACCAGGTAAGATTCCACTGAACTGTTTCTCTTTTCAGAAGTGATTTGGCCGCAAATGATAGCCCAATGAAGTGGCTTATGTAGAATGTATAGCAGCCACTGGTGGCGAGACAGTAGCGGAGGCTGTCTCTGGTGTAGGCCGTTTCAAGGGCAATGCGTACATTATTATCAATGCACGTTTGTTTGCATGTTTTACTACAAGCATGATGTGTGGTTAATGCAGACCTGATGCTTTGCAATAGGTATCTATTTGGTGTTTGAACATCTCAACACCCCCTGTGTTGTTGCTGCAAAGGGTTGAGCCCTTTTCTTTACGACGAGCATTTTTGGTAGCGAGTGTACAACCCTCTGCTGAAATAAAGCTGCCTCATGTATATTGTTTGATCATACTTCACCGCACTGGTCAGTGTGAGTTGGGGAAGGAGGGGTCTAGCTCGGGGTTGGCTAGGTTGTTGATTGTAAAGCCCTCTCTGCGTTGCTTAGATACCAAGTGGGGTCCAGCCGGACCACCGGATACGCATGTCTGGCAAGGGAATCAACCGCGTGAACAGCTACGGCTACGGAGATCACTACATCCACGTCAAGATCCGCATCCCCAAGTGAGTCCGCTCCCCAGCAGTGTCCGCACGTACGTACGTGTCCAGTACGTAGCACGCCAGGTATCAGAGTGTGGCGGTTATGTCGCTACAGTTCTCCGCGGCGAGTACGATGTCTTGAAAAACAGCGGCGCTACGCCTCTCTAAATAAAATTCACGCTAACCGCTTGTGCGTTTCAGCGGTGAACGGGACCCCCACTCTGCATCTTGCAGACGTCTTGGAAGGGGAAAGATTTGAGACTGGATGGGCGCACCAGCCACAGTCTGCTGGGGTAGCGCTGCATGGCGTGGGCGGCAGGGTGCCGCAGTGGTACATCTGCTGCGGCGTAGAAATACGTTTCCTGCAGGATGTCGTGGGTTCAATCTCGACCCTACTGTATATTTGGAGTTTGCGTGTCTCTCTCCCACTAGTTGCATGGATTTTTCTCCAGTTTTTCCCTCCACATTTAGAATCAACGCACGTTTAGAGTATTTGGCTGCTACTGGAAATTTCCACGTGACAAGCCGCGTCATTGAGCCATCATTTGATAGGCAGAGCTACACAGCTCAGTGGGGCCTAACCCAGTAAAATAAAAATAGTTTAGTTTCAATAATAACAACAAAGAACGTACGGTGCGTTGCGAGGACACGTGGTGCGTTGCTGATACGCGTTGCCTTTGCCGGGGGCCAGACGCTTGTCGGAGCGCCAGAAAGCGCTGCTGCTGGAGTACGCAGAGGAGGAGAGTGACGTGGAGGGGACGGTGGCGGGCATCACCAGCACGAGCACAGGTGCCACACGACCATTCTCTTGCTCTCCACCGCTTTTGCATCGCACGCCACGATTCGCGAAAGCAAGCAGCTTTTTGTGGCACGCCGGTTTACGTCGGAGGGGGGTGAGGTGGGGGATGCGTTCCTGAAAGGTGCGGCGATGACGACGGATATCGAAACGGCAGAATTCAAAGCGGGGATTACGGGGTCGGAGGTGGTGGAGGCGAAAGAGGCTGAGAGGCGACGGGTAACAATAAAAGACGGACGATGATGCTGTTGGTCGCGACGTGAGTGTGTGGGGTCGAGACGGCGCAAATCATCGGGTTGCGGTGTTGACAATAAAGCGACATTGTCTTTTGCAAAAACGACGTGAACGTGGGAGAGACGTAAATTGGGGCGATACTGTGATCGCACTGAGGTCGCTGCAGCGTGAAGCATCGTCCTGAAGGTGGCCGGTGTTACAGATATAATAATAAACTCGTTTTTCTAAAGCGAAAATCGCCCAAGTTGAATTTGCTACTTTAAAAGGAAACCCGGCAGCGCCACGAATCGTGACGCGGGCTGGGTTGGCGTCCCTCCCCTCCCCCCGCGTGGCGGCTCCCGTTCGGCGACGAGACGCGTGGCTGCAGGCGGTTCCGTGTGGGATTACGCCGCCGTGTGGTGTGCCTGTCCCCTGCAGAGAGGAGTAAGGCCAGCCACGCCTCGGACACTCGCTCGCAGTCTGAGCAGCAGCAGCCGGAGGAGGGATTTTTTAATAAATTAAAGAAATTGTTCAACTGAAGGGTCTTCTTCCCCGAGGCAGGTAGGATTTATTTTTATTACTCATTCAAAATCAATTATTTCCAATTGGTCGCTTCTTATCCTCTTGGAAGACAGATAAGCGTGGAAGGTTTCTCCGGAAGGTAATAAGGGGGTGGAGCGCACGGTGGTTGGGGCCCATGTGCAGTCTAAAGGAGGACGTCACATTAGTGAGATGTTATCGCCCACACCGGGTATGCAGGTGGTCATGGGTTTGATCCCGATCCTGACGCCTGTTGTATATTTGGAGTTTGCGGTGTCTCATCTCCCTCTGGTCACGCGTTCAGATTATTTGGCTGCTGCTATATATTTCCACGCGATAAGCCACTTTATTGAGCTGCCATTCGTGGCCAGGTCACGTCTGAAAAAGAGCTAATGGCTAAGTGGGCTTTATACCTGCTAAATAAAATGGTAAGAAAAATTGTTTATTCTCAAGGTAACGAGGAAGAGGATCACACGGTGGGTTGGGGGGGTGTATTTGCCTCGACCCGAGCTCATGACAAGCCACTTCGTTGAGCTATCATGTGATAACCAGGTCGCTTCTGAAAATGAGCTGTATAGCTCCGTGGGCCTTACCTGGTGAAATACAAATTGTTTAGACGAGTTGAGCGATGATGTGCTGCGGTGGCATTGGCCACGTGGCTGTTTGACCTCCAGGTGATGTCATCGCTTGCTAGGGCAGCAGTACGCGGGGGGGGGATATTTTATACATATGGAGGTGGTGGTGCGCTACCATTCAGGGGGTACTCCCTCGCCTGCTGCGTACTGTCCACTGCTTCGTGCTGCTCACTGCCCACCGACACTTGCCGTACACTGCTGTGTGGTGCCCACTGACATTTGCTGACCACTGCTGTCCCGTCGCTGCGTGCTGCCTATTGCCGTTTTTGCTGCCTACTGCCGTGCTCATTACTACGTGCTGCAAATTTCTGCCCACTGCTACTCGGTTTTAATAGTTGACAATCTCAAGCTGCCCACTGCTGCGTGCAGTCTGCACATCCTACTGCTGCCATTACTGAGCTATACAGCTCACCCGTGCTGCTGCTGCTACTGTAGCGTCACAACGCGTATACTTTGACCTCGGTGCCCATCCCTGCGTGCTCAGCGTCTTGAGGAGCGGTTGTACCCCGATAGGGAGTGTTCGAAGTGTAAATGTGTATAAAGTTACACAGCATGAAAGCTGTTCACCCTACTAGCCATGCTAATTGCTGTTTCCCCTCTTAGGGAAGCGTCCGATTGTAGGATGTTTGACTGGCAGGGTGGCAGAGTGGTAACACGTGCCTCACAGAAAAAAGGACTATGGGTCAATTTACGACTCTGAAACCTTTCTGTGTGGAGTTTGTATGTTTGTACCCCTGTTCTGTGTGGGCTTCCACCAGGTTCTGCAGTTATCTCCTCCCATAGCTAAGAAAACACAATATTACTGGCATTGGACAAACATCCCAATGCTCATAATAATTCATAATAAACGTTTTTGGGTTAGATCGCGTTATTTATGAACGTGTCGTAACCCTGCCAATGCTGAAAAAATACCTGCAAATTACTCAATAGGGATTACATTATAGCAACATCGTATGTATGTTGAACTTCTTTCGCACCGTACTTAGCCAACCACGCTAATCAGAGGTGTTGGGGAAGGACAACAAACTAAGCACAAAAAGCAGTTATAAAGAAATTAGTTTACAATTTAGAATCGTGGCATCGCCCCCTTGTTGTGAAAACTTTGCACGACCCTCGAGTTTTCGATTCCCGCTCACGGCCAACATCGGCGACGATTATCTGAACCGGTCCTGGCCCTCCCCTGGGTGTAGCGGGCATGGAGCTGGCCACTCACCCCCTCGTGTGCCGTGCCAACCTTCATAGGTGCAACTCGCTGACAGCACTTGCCCCAATCAGTCTGTTAAGGCAATGGGGAGATGTCTTTTTAATGTATATATCGCTCTGTCCTCTCTCTTTCTGCAACAGGGAAAAGGTGGACTGGTACCTAGATGTGCACAAGACTGCCGTGGAGGAACAACACGGAAAATATGACCTGCCCTTTCCCATGGCCTACTGCCCTAGCCGATAGAAGATATATCCCCCACGCCCCCGTCTAGCTACGTCTTTGCACAGCATTATTGTACATCACAAGATCACATAGACACATAATAGGCGATTGTAAAGTAAGTGGCAGGTCGTGTTTACAGACTAAAGCGTCATGCTTTTAAGAATAATCCTCTGTACAAATGTTTCCTTAATGTTCAAAGTTCCTGTCGGTATTTTCAAAATTAAACTAATTATGCCTATACAGTATTTATTTTCGCTCCTTGGTTGCTATTTTGGTATTTCTAAATCAATTTTAAGTTTAAGATTCAAAGCAAAAGATCATAATACATGCCCCTAAAGTCTTCAATGAAGCTAAAATGCACAACTGTCCATTGTTATGCTTTCACTGACGAAACCCGTTATGTGGATAAATTATTTCTGCTTTTTAGGAAATGGGCTTGTTACGTGAAGACTGAGCTGCATTCTGATTAAAACGTAAACTATTAAGAGACGTTCATTATGTTATGGTACTCAAAATAAATACTTGGACTCTCAAGTAGAGCTGCTGCCGCTGTGATGTTAATGGTCGGCACACCGCACGTGCAGTCCAGATGCTGCAATTTTGACCTGGCGAGGCAATTGAAATAACCAGCAAGTTTCTTAAACCTACTCACACTTTCCAATTTTACTAGGCAGAGACCCACAGCTATTATCTTTTTTAAGAATCAACCTGGCCACAAATGATAGCTCTACAAATTAGCTTGTGGAAATGTATAGCGGCCAAGTACTCTGAAACGTGTGATGTTGATTCGAAATGTGGTGGGGTCACAGATGGTGCATCAGGCCAGTCGTCTCAGTCAACCGATGGCACCTGGATCTGTCCCGTAACCTGCCAGCGAACCTTCAACACTTCACGTGGCCTCAAAGTGCACATAGCCTGGCACAAGCACCATGGTGATGTCACCGCGACTTGGTGGCGAATGGCAGTTGTTGAAACCGCTGGGTTGAGTAATATCGTTGGACTGCCCAAACCAACCACGTCTGCACATTCTGCCACAATGCTGTGGCCTGTCACCACGTCTACGTGCGGAGCCAAGAGAGAAACCCCCAGTGGCAGGGCAGTGACAATTCTGGCAGCATTGAGCTTCATGGGGTGCGAGTCTGTGCATGGCATGCGTGTGGAAGGTACATTTGCATGCATTAGCTTGCAAAAAATTACGACTTAGCTTGTTAGACCTACCACGTAGAGTAAAAACATTGTGGCTGCCCTTTTATTTTATACTCTCAAGATAAATATAACAAAAGTATTACTCTAGCATATGAATTGCATGATGAAACTAATTCATTTAATATCAACAATGCAGCATATTGCAGACATCAATTTAAACGCGTCATTCTACTCATGTTGGAAAACCTTCAACACGTTCCAATTCCACGGGAATATTTATTTTCCGCAAGGTATAAATCGTTACGCATGCACGTGACACATTTCCAGAAAATATTGGAAGATTAAGTTTTGCCGCAGCGCGTTGAGTATTCCCGCGTAGACCCTGTTGACGTGATCGCAGGGACCTGGCGACGCTGGGCCTTGGCCCTGACAGTAGAGAACGAGGCCCGCCATCAGACCTCCAAGCGCGAGAAGCAGGAAGAGCAGCGCCGGGACCCTGCGGCACGACCAGCGACCAGCACTGGCGCGCCGCCGCCGCCGCTCGCCAACCACAGCGTCTACCGGCACACATGCGCATCCTGGTGAACACAGCGGTGAACACTCCCGGGGCATCGGCAACTTTCAACTCTTAAAACTGGCCCTGGCAGCGAGATACTTTCAAATACACCCCCCATGCACCTGGACAGTGGTTCCGCCCTCGCGGACACTGCGACCGTGTGGGCCGCGCCCGAGAGCCTCACCATGCGGTGACGCGCTGGGTTTGGGAGCCGGGGTCTCGTTCCGCTGCCGGAGCCGAGCCTGCGCCGCCTCGTACTCGCGCCGCCTCTTCTCCTTCTCCATCGCCTTCTGCTGCTTGCGCAGCTCCCTCTTGGCCTCCTCCTGTCGCAGAAGCTCGGCCTCCTTGCGCGCCTGCTTAGCTGCACGCGTGGACACCGTAAACTATAAATAAAAACTTTTATTTCGACCAGCTAAGGCCCACTGAGCTATGCAGCTCTTTTTCAGAAGCGACCTGGCCACGAATGATCGCTAAATGAAGTGGCTTATCATCACGTGGAAATCTATAGCAACCAAAAACCCGAAATATGTTGATTCTAAATGTGGAGAGAAAAACCGGAGAACCCCGAGAAAAATATACACAAGCACAGGAAGAACATGCAAACTCCAAATATGGAGCATGCGTCAGGGTCGGGATCGATTCCACGACCTGCATACCAGGCGAGGGAGTTAAGATCTCACCAACATGGCGCCCAAAAGCGTGAACTCAACCTGCTGGTACTACAGGGCTTCGGCACCTCCCCCCCAGTGCACTGTGGGTAATAATGCGATATAAATTTACAGGTATCCTTCGATTTACGAAAGGGACGCATTTTAGCGTAAATTTTATTTACAGAGGCGTGGCGCTGCTTTTTTAAAAGAATGTCCTGTAATCACCGCAGAGAACTGTCACTCTGTACGATAGCTGGTGCCAAACTGCCACACACCCTCCCGCGTGGCCTATGACTTGTGATTATATACGGAATTGCAAGTAAAACTGTAAGTGTATGTCATCGGAAATGGTTAAGTACGATTCTCTGTCCAATTCACGAGCCACACTCTTACATCGCTCTTTCTCCAGACGTTGCTGCTGGGCCTTCTCCTCTTCCACCTGCACCTGCTTCATATACTCCACCACCTGGCAGGGGATAGAACATTGCCAAACGGAACACTGAAATGTGGTGAATCATTATTTTACCGATCATTGTCTATCCACTGCTGGGTAACAGGTTTTTTTTTTATATGGATGAAGGCATCCCCATGCCATCACCATCTCTGCAATCCACCCTCCAATTAGGCACCGAATAGCACGGATGGTTACATAGGGCGCGAAAGAAGTTCATCATACACGCATACATATCTTGCTCTTGCACATGAACGAAACTCATCACTCACAGCTCTACGCTGGCACATTCTCCAATTTGGCTGCTATTCTGTCACGAGTCTTGTCCAGTGGTCATGACCCATACACGCAATGTGTCCACTCACCAATGACGAAATAAAGCCCCCTCCCTGTCGAGTTTCCGCTCCTCCCTCAAGACCCACCTCTTCTCCCTGGCGCGTCCTTCCCTCCATCCCGAGGTAGTCTCGTAATTCCCGTACCCACTAAACCTCCCTCCCCATACCCCATCCCTATACACCATTAGCACCCTTGGCTACCCTCATTTTACCACTCATAACCTTTGTAAAGTGCCTTGGATAAAGGCGCTTTTTAAAATATAAGACAAGAAAACAACAGCGTGCTTTGTGTAATGGGTGATTATTCCGGTTAGCAATATTACTTTAGAGGTCAATTGGATGATTTGTTGTGAAGCTACACAACCACTGTGTTGCAAGTGAATTTCACTGTTTAAACGCACAGGTGATCTTTACTGATGTCATCAACCATTATAATGATGGCATTTGCAGTTTAAAAGTGTTTTTAATAAATATTTCACCTGGATAATCACTTGAGATGGGACATTTACAAGGGTGTCCAAAATGTAGATTAACACAGCAAATCTGTTTTAACAGCATCAAGCATGGATTTATATTAACGATACTAAACTTGTTTACCCAAAAAAAGCCAGTCTCAAGAATGATCTTCAAGAGGGCCCGGCCAAGTTTTTGCAATGATTAACTTGCAGGTATTTTTTAGACATTGGGAGGTTTGGCCAATACCAGTTACATTCTATGTTTTGTTCGCTATGGGAAGAAACCTGACAACACAGAAGAAATTAATTCAGAACAGGAGAACATACACACTCAACAAAGAATGAGCTCGTCGGACATGGAACCCAGGAACTTCTTTTTGCAGTGAGACACAAGCTGTTTTTTTTACTTTCCCATTCTCTCCCTCTCCCCTCCCTTTGCCGCTTCACTCCTTCCCGTCCCTCCCCAATGCATACCTGCCAATCCCTTATCAGTGCCTATCTTATTACAGACTAAATCAGACCTTATTGGTCACCGCGTGCCCTTGCAAATCTCAACGTTCATCCTACAAAATCCCATGACAAGGGAGAAACATAAACAAATAAACACATTTGTTTCCTGTATTGAAAACTCAGTTTCTCTGTATAAGAATACGGGTAAAACGTATGGGTTGACAGGTATGCCAATAGCCCTTTCGTGATCCCTAAGTACCCCTCCATCACTCATTCCTTGCAGAACGCTCCTGTCAACTACTTCATTCCATGTCACCGTTTTGTAAGCTACGTAAATCAAGTGCCTTCAGTGAAGGGGCTCTACGTATGGTGCAGAAGAAGTTCAACATTACCACCGCACCACTTTGCCACTCGAATTGAAGCTCAACACTCTACGTGCGGCGAGGCCTCACCTGGACTGCACACAGCTTGCACTGCTTCTCATCGAGGCAGTCCGTGGTCACCTTGGCAAGAGCTGGCTCGAGGGGATTGTCCTTCAGATCCAACCATTTCAGACTCTGCAAGACAGTGCAACACAAGTTGGTCACTTACATTAAAGCATCAGGATGTAACACGAGATTCACAGGGTTGTTTTTGCCTCATGGACAAGTAACTTAACTATCTTAACTAGTTTTATTTTATCAGGTTAAGCGACTTAGCTCGACAAAGTGGCATATCACATGGAAATTTATAGCAGCAGCCAAACACTCTCAACGTGTGATGTTGATTCTAAATGTGGGGAGAACAAATAAGCCAAGCCAACTCGAAATATACAGCAGGCGACAGGGTCGGCATCGAACCCACAACCTCCTTCATCCCAGGCGAGGTAGTTAACATCTTGCCACCATGCCATTTCACATTCAATTGTGTCAAGAGCAGCAGCGTCGTGTGTCATCGCCTCAATGTCTCCTTCATCTTTGTGGAACGGGGCTTTGCATCGTTACGCGTTGTTACGGTCTGTTCTGGATGACCACGGTCGCACACTACTCCTGGAGAGTTTTTAATTTTCCACTTGTGCATGATCAGGGTATCTGCAGTGAACTGACGAGGGCCGATGAGGACGACGTCTCCCCCCATGCGGGCGGCTTGTCACCTTGAGCCGAGCGAAGCTGGTGGGCAGCGACTGCAGCTTGTTCTGAAAGAGGTCGAGGTGGTGCAGCCACACCAGCTCCCCAAACTCGGCGGGAAGCTCCCTCAGCTGGTTCTTGCTCAGGTCCAGCTTGACCAGATGCGTCAGCTTGCTGAACTCTGGCTGCAAGACGACAATAAACACCACCACGCAGCGCAACGAGCATAAACATTTACACGCACTCCCATACGCTTTAGCTGTTCGAATGTAACGTTAAATCGTTAGCGTTATTGTGGAGAATATCAGTAGTAACATAGTAACATTATTTACAAACAATATGCCTCTTTGCGTTAATAATATTAGCGTTGTGGAGAATTTAAGTAGTAACATTATTTACAGACAATATGCCTCGTATTTATTTTGCATATACGTTGAACTTATTTTGCACCGTATGTAGCTAATCGAAGGTGCAGACGCATTCATTGTGAGGTCAAGAGATAATTTACTCTTCCAAAGACGGCCTCTGGGTGATGCGAGTGAGGGTTAAAGGTCACCCTTTTACGGTGTCTATCAGTGGTTACTCCCTGTTGCGTTGCCACCAGATCATAAATGAATAGCATGTCATTTACACCAATAGCTTAGCAATCCGATCCGGCGCTTGTCAATTAGTACCAGAGATTGTCAACAAGATGTAGAGATGGTTCACCTGCAATGATGTCAGTAGATTGCAAGACAGGTCCAGGACCGTAGCTTTCGGCAACTCTGCCTGCGATAAAAAGGTAACCTTAAGATTAATAGCGTGCACACACACAGCAAACAATGTTACAAAACAAACAAACGTCCACTAACTCAATGTAAAGTTAACCAACAAATCGCGTTTAGGCGGCGTGTGACGTCAGGGGCACGGCTCGGCTCGTGCAGTGGAAAAACGCAACCCGAGTCGATGGGGGATTGGTGCCGCGCTTGGCTCGGCACGGACCTGGCTCGGCTCGGCTCGGCGGATGTGCACAGTGGAGAACGGCGCGGACATCGGCGCGTCCACCCAGCTCCGCATTGTCGAGTGGCAGCGCCAATTCTCCCACCACAGACCAAACCCATTTCTCGGCCAGCCTACGTCTCAACCTCACACGACGTGACCCCCTCGCCCAGACCCCCACCACAAACGTGACCCCCTCGCCCAGACCCCCACCACAAACGTGACCCCCTCGCCCAGACCCCCACCACAAACGTGACCCCCTCGCCCAGACCCCCACCACAAACGTGACCCCCTCGCCCAGACCCCCCCTCACTCACCCCCCTCACCCCCCACACAGACCCCCCACACCGACCCCCCCTCACCCCCCACACCGACCCCCCCTCACCCCCCACACCGACCCCCCCTCACCCCCCACACCCCCCCTCACCCCCACACCCCCCCCCTCACCCCCACACCCCCCCTCACCCCCCACACCCCCCCACACCCCCCCTCACCCCCACACCCCCCCTCACCCCCCACACCCCCCCACACCCCCCTCACCCCCCCTCACCAGCTCGCGCACGGGCGCCTCGGCGAGGCCGCAGAGGCTCAGGTCGAGCTCGCGCCCCTCCAGCTTGTCGCGCAGCGTCAGCCGCTCGCGCCGCGACCCCCCGGGGGGGGCAGCGGCAGCAGCGGCAGCTGCAGCAGTAGCGGCAGCAGTAGACGACATCGCGGTGTCTCTGCGCGGTCACCGCCGCTCGCTCTGTGAGCGCGCGACACGCACACAGGCGGAAGGAGACGCGCGGGGTCAAGGGTCGACACGCACACAGGCGGAAGGAGACGCGCGGGGTCAAGGGTCGACACGCACACAGGCGGAAGGAGACGCGCGGGGTCAAGGGTCGACACGCACACAGGCGGAAGGAGACGCGCGGGGTCAAGGGTCGACACGCACGCAGGCGGAAGGAGACGCGCGGGGTCAAGGGTCGACACGCACGCAGGCGGAAGGAGACGCGCGGGGTCAAGGGTCGACACGCACACAGGCGGAAGGAGACGCGCGGGGTCAAGGGTCGACACGCACGCAGGCGGAAGGAGACGCGCGGGGTCAAGGGTCGACACGCACACAGGCGGAAGCGGAACGGGGGATGTGAGGGGGGGGTTGGAGAGGGGGGGGTGAACCGGAAGTTATCGCCGCGGGTTTACCCCTCGCGGGCGCGTTAACCCGGAAGCACGTGTTAGTACGGCCACGTGCTCCACGCTGCGGCTCCACACCGCGGCTCCACGTAGCTCCACGTCTTCCAGGCTCTCCCCCCCCCGTGGCTCCCCCCGGCTCCTGTTCGCGGCTCGCGTTCCGCGCAGCGCTCCGCCGTCATGAAGTTCAACTTCAGGGTTCGTTCCATCGCGAGCGGTGTTCTCACCGAGCGTCGTCCGCTCCGTGCCACCGTGCACGGAGCGCGGTCTCCTTTGCTCTGTCGGCCCGTCTCGTCCTTCTCGTCCTCAGGCTCTCTCCTCTGGCGTCTTCTCCTCTTCGCCCCGTCTCACGAGAGAGGATTTGGAGGCGCACTCAGCCGGTCTCTGCAGAGGGGCAGCTGCATTTAGATGATTTGGCTGCTATAAAATGTCCACGTGATGATGAGCCACTTTCTTAAGCTATTATTTGCGGCCAGGTCGCTTCTGAAAAAGAAGCTAATAGCTCAGTGAGCTTTACCTGGTAAGATTAAAACAAATATTTATCTAAATAATTTTAAGTGATTTGGTTACCTTTACTATGCTTCGATCTCCTATCGTGTGTTTGTGCTGTTGTCACGTCCTGATCCGCCCCTACTGGAAACATGTGAAAGTAGCTTGAAAGCTCGTCGGATTCTCCTGCTGCAGTTTATATTCTGATTTTGACGTCAATACGGACGGCACTGTGTGATTGTGACTTGGGAGTTGTAGCCTTGTAATTATCACCACCGTCATAATCAACAGCAGTAGATTCACGTTCAGTAACCAGGTGAGAACTTAAAGACACCAGGACTATCGTCTCATTTTGAATAGTAACCCGGGTCGCTAAAACTAGAAATAGCAACTACGTAAAGGTACAGCAACCATTGCTCACGCTCGTGCGACTTCAAAGTCCACCTTGCATGTTGCAACAGCTGACTTCATCGCTCCGTCGTCCCCTCCTTGAGCTGCGACTCCGTCGTTCGTCTTGGCCGCCAGCCCACGCCCCCGTCTGCAGTGTTGTCCTGTTCAAACCCGTCAACATGACTTGTCCAGGCTGCATTTGTTCTCTCATCCACATGCGCATCTCTCTGCCTCCGTGTAACTTTCAAAGCAGCACCAATCATTGGCGCGAAATCGTCTCTCTCGTTTTCTTGCGAATCTCAGTTTGTTCAGGAACCAAATGTCGAGGTCTGCTGCTCGCCTCGACCAGAGCGAGGGCTTCAGCAGAGAGAGAGCGGCATGTGTAGTCTTGCTGTTCCTCCTCCGTTAAAGGAGCCCAGGGCACAGTGGTTTCATGTATGGGCCATAGTTGAGGCTGCGTGAACATCTCGGCGAAATGCACCCATTACTGTTTACACACACGCATTAAAATGTCTCAATCATGGAATGCTTCATCAACCATTCTGCCACGATTATGTGGTGGATGTGTAATTAAAATGCTCTTCCGATATAAAAAAAAAAACACTAAATTGAAAACTAATTTCTTTAGAACTGCTCTTTGTGTTTAGTTGTCTTTCCCCGCACCTCCAACATACATACAACACGACTAGATTAAACTCAACTTTTATTTTACCAGCTAAGACCCACTGAGCGATATAGCTCTTGTTTTTTCAGAAGTGACCTGCCCACAAATGATAGCTCAGCCAAGTTGCTTATCACGTGGAAATGTATAGCAGCCAAATTCTAAATGTCGAGGGAAAACCCGGAGAATTCGGAGAAAAATCAACGCGATCACGGAGAGAACGAACACGCAAACTCCAAATATACAGGCATTGTGAGGGTCGGGATCGAACCCACGACCTCCTGCATACCAAGCGAGAGAGATGAAATCTCCTAGCCATCGCGGCAATGCGCGCGAGCGTGTGCGTCGTCGGTGAGCGAGTGTCTGCTAAGGTTCGTGCCTGTGCCTTTGCTCCGCAGTTTTCGAACCTGCTGGGCACCGTGTACCGTCGCGGAAACCTCGCCTTCTCTCCCGATGGCAACAGCGTGGTCAGCCCCGTGGGGAACCGCATCACGCTCTTCGACCTCAAAAAGTGAGTGCCGCCACGTGGGCAGCGATGCCCGCTCTCGGTGTTACAAGGGTTTAGCGTCACACTCCAAGCCATGTCCCGAGAGGGCTCTTGTTGTTTACAAGCGGTCTGCCAGTTCGCCAGCATTCATTTAAGCGATACCCTGACTGCTGACGAGACACACAAGGTCGAATTGGGTCATGCGTTGTCTCGTGGTGAACCAGTGCTGATGAATTTATAACCTAAAGTGTTTAGCAAAGCTCACCCATCATCATTGTTACATTTACAGTGTGTATTTTCCAGCGTTGCAATCTTCATGGAGTTCCACATTGCTTCATTTCAGACAATGGGTGGAGACCACCTTGCGCTATGTGTTTCCTACTCATTATTTAAAATGATGAATGTGTTTGTGTTTCTACACAACGGTGGTGGAAAGCGGTTGTGCAATGGTTGGCGCTCTGCGCTACGAACCCAGCAACCTGAGTTTGATTTCAACTCATGGTCACCAACACCAGTGACGAGTATCAGAACTGGTCCTGGGCCTCTCCTTGGTCGACTCGGCCTCAAATGAGTACCTGGTGCAGTGCGTAAACATCGCCAGTGGGGAGACGAAGGTTTTTGGGGGTGGTACTGGCCACCACCCCTTGTGTGCCCCTGTACCAGTCTTCATAGGTACTCACTATCAGCACTTGTCCCCAACAGGCTGTTAACGCTACACGGGTGATCTTTGTCTTTGTGTGTGTACGCAACAGTAACAAGTCGGAGACCCTGCCTGTGGCGACGAGGGTCAACATCAGCTGTGTGGGCCTCTCTCGAGACATGAGCCTGGCCATCCTCATTGACGAAGGTGCGGTCTTCCCACGGCGTCCCCGGCTCTGCGAGCCGTGCTCGTTAACATCCGCCCTTCGTGTGATTATAAGCTGCTTGCCCCGAGATATTAACCCTTTCCCGTTCCGAGACGACTGCAGGATGGGTGTCCCTGTTCACCTCTGAATCTCGGGAAACGCGCAAGCGGCTCATTGTAGCATTGTTTTTAAAGACGTCGTTACTCACGGCAGAGAATCGTAGCTGACACGACCGCCGCACTCTACGACAGCCGGCTGCCAAACTGTGCCACACGCCCTCCCGCGTGGCCTTGGGGGGAGCCTCGGTACCGATAAAGTTATTGTATTTTAGTTTTCTTCCGGTGTCGGAAGAAAAACTAATCGAAAGAAAATCCGATGATATACACCACCACGTACGCTTTTGCCGAGCTGATTGTTGCCTCTTGAGAATGCGAGCGTTGATGCCGTGGGGGGGGGGGGGTTCCCTGTTGCAGAGGGTGCCGCGGTGCTCGTGAGCATGATCGGCAAGTCGGTGCTGCACCACTTCCACTTCAACAAGCCGGTGCACAGCATCAAGTTCTCTCCGGACGGGCGGTGAGTTGCCACCAACACACCCCCCCCCCCACTCCACCTTGTCGGGGAAGCTGACCCCCCTCGTGGGAGGTCGCGGGGTTATGAGAAGGCTCAGTGGGCCTTACCTCGTAAAATAAAAAATAGTTTGTGATTTTGTGACTCTTGACGAACGCTGATTTTGCAGGAAGTTTGTCGTGACCAAAGACAAGGTGGCGATGCTTTATCACGCACCCGGCCTCGTGCGGGAGTTCAACCCGTTCGTGCTGGACAAAACCTTCTTTGGGCCGTACGACGAGACCACGTGCATCGACTGGACGGACGATTCCAGGTGAGCTCACAGCCCCGCATTGCGCGCACCGCCCATCGCTACCGTGCGTGCGCTTCCGTGTTCGCTCCGCACGATGCTGGGTGCTGCCTGGAGATCTACTGGACAGCTGTGAAAAAGAGCTTTATAGCTCATCGGATTCCTCCAGGACAGCGTTGTTCATTGAAGGCCCCAGCGGGCCACTGGCGGCCCCTGGTGGCCTTTAGTAGTGGTCGTGGTGGTAGTCGTAGCGCGAGAAGGCCGACGCGGTGGGCGACTGCCCGCGCCAGCGAGTGAGATCTGGCAGCGCGATCTCGCGTGGTTTCGGTCGCGAGAGCCTCTCTCCGTCTTTGTGACAGCACCACGCGCGTCTCCACCCCCCCCCCCCCCCAGGTGCTTCTCGGTGGGCAGCAAGGACATGTCCACGTGGGTGTTTGGAGTCGAGCGCTGGCAGAACCTGGTCTTCTACGCCCTCGGGGGCCACAGGGACGCCATCGTCGCGTGCTTCTTCAGGCAGAACTCCCTAGACGTACGTGCGCGCCTGCCTTGGCTCGCTTGCGGTGGGCGGAGAGGGGGAGGGCACCGCCCAGGTGTGGGGGGTGGGGTGGTGCGGCTGACGGACTAGCTCGTGGGCGGGCAGGTAAGCCTGGTGGGTGGTGGCAGCCCCGCGGGCTGCACTCGGGCATCGCTGGGTCGCTGCTCGTGCCGTTTGATTCGTGCCGTTGTCCATCGGCTCGGCCGTGACAGTGACGTGTGGGTGCCAGCGGAGTCTCGTGGCAAGGAGCCCCCCACCTGGGTTCAATCCGAACCCCGGGCACCTTTCTGCGTGGAGTTTGGGTGTTCTACCCCCTGTTGTGAATGGGCGGTTTCCTCCCATAGCCACAAGAAAACAAAATCACATACAAC